CCCCAAAACCCCAAAACCCCAAAACCCCAAAACCCCAATAAGCAAATTTATTTTTGATTTTATATATATTAGCTTTAGAATCTTAACATGGCTTCTACGACTTTTTGGAGGCAATTTAAAGCCCTCAATAAGAAAAATTATATTATTTTCAGGAGAAACCGAAGAGCAATTATCTGAGAATTCGTGATTCCAATCTTGTTCGCCAGTTTATTCGTAATACTAGGTAAGCTCATAAACTATTGACTTCTGACATATATTAGGTACTCAGATCCCTGCTTCTGAAGTCAGAGAAGGAAGTGACGTCTTCTACAGATCCGGCTATATGATTGAGCCTTTCATTAAGAGGCTTGGACAAGGGTAAGTAAATAGGCTGTGCTGCACCCAGGAGTAATAGAGGGAGGAGCCAGATTAGAGTACTGCTTGGATATGGGCGTTAGAGATAAGAATTAGGGAGTTTTATGGTATGCTTGTGAGGGTAGGTTTTAGGACTTGTTTTGGTCTGGTGGTGGGGAGATCTTGCGGGTCGGTGATTTATGGGCGGTTTGGAAGTAGAGTTAGGTGAGGGTTATTGTTTTGAATAAAAATGTTTTTTTTACCTCTGAAATAAAGTATTCGGCATATTACAGATTTTAGAGAGGGAAATAGTCTCCCTTTAGCGGAAAGTAATTTCTTTGCTAATTCTGCTAACGGTTTGAACAGCGCTTATTTAAAATTATTGCTTCTTGTTTTAGGATAATGCATTTTTTGAATTAACTCTATCTGCTTCTGGTTCAGTCTTATACCCCAGTCCGCAATCTAATGGAGTTCTCGCATTCATTATAAACAGTAAGAATTATTTCATTCCCAAACTCTTTGAATAAATTTAATAGTGAACGGTTCAGTTAGGAACTAGTTAATATCACTTCAGAATTAAACCTCCAAAAAATTGTGCTGACTCTTTGTTATTTTTCTAAATAGAGGAATTTCGATTCTAAATCCTAATTAGTTCTGAAGAAATTAAAGGATCTTAATTTGACTTGATGAAAAAGATTAGATTAGATTGGAAAGAATAGTTACAAGACACTTTTAGATGTCTATTTGGGAAGAAGCTGAGAGAGGATAGAAGCTTTGTTAGCTTAAAGAGATGTCTTGAAGGAAAGATTCACTTCTATTCAATTGGAATCATAAGATTACCGTGAAAAAAAATATTAAACACATTTTTAATAGACTCCTTAAAAAATCATCGTGTTTCTTCCAAATGAACCTTTTTCGATTCCCTTTAATACCACCTTCATCTTAACCCTCCCAAATCCTCCTCTTGAATCCACTTCCTCCCTTATTTCCCTTAAAATATCCAATAAAAATCTATGCTTTTTCCTACCTATTCTCTTTATACCCGCTCACCACCTAAAATCCCCCCTCATCTTTCCTTCTAGATCCACTGTTGCTGCTCAAGAGCCTGAATACGCCTCTATCGAGGTTGACCCAGGCTGGGTTGGCGCTGGTAAAGACCTAGCCTTCATTCAGAGCAAAGAGAAGTTTGCTGATGTGGAAACCTTCTTGCAAGATGATAGAGGCATTACTCTCACAAAGGAATTTGATAACTTCAATGATCCCAGAAATGAAATCAGGAGGGACGGAGATGACACAAGACTAGCTGGCGCGCTGGAAGTCAACCTTTTAGGTAAGATTTAGCTTAGATAGGATAGATTCGGATTTTTAGAGTTAAGAATACTTATTGAGAGCTTATTTAAGAATTTGGGCAAATACTTAAGAGATCTGATTGCGATATATTTCAAAGTTAATTATGATTGGGTCTTGTTTTAGTGATGAGTTAGTACATGTATCCATAATCTCTTGTGCTTTTGCATCCACCCTGACCTTGAGCGATATAGCCGACAACAAAATCCAAGTGAATGTGATGTCTAAAGAGTTTAAGTCAGAAGGATTTGCAGGATTTAGTTTAAACAATAGTGAGACTTATGATATATATGAAGCAAACCTTGAGTTTGAAAGATCTTTGACTGGTAATTATGCTCAGTTTGCTCTCGAGGCTCATCTAAATAAAACTAAGCCTCAAAACAGAAATGTCAAGATTAGTAATGTGTTCACGTACAGAAGCACTGAAGATGAAGACATCTCTGTTTTGGCACAAGTCATGGATTCCTTATTTCCGATCCTAGTCGTAGTAACATACACATTACCAATGTTGTATATTATCCAAAGAGCTGTTGAAGAGAAAGCCTCGAAGACGAGAGAGAGTATGAGAATGATGGGCATGAAAGAAGCTCCATATTGGTGCAGCTGGTTCCTTGTTTACTTCTGTTTGATTTTCATAATCTCACTGATTATGGCTTTAGGAACTGGATTTACTGTTTTAAATCATAGTAACTTCTTACTTGTGTTCTTGATCTTTTTCTTATATGGAGCTTCTGTGTTTGGAATGGGTATTCTGGTCATTGCAGTATTTGATAGTGTAAAGACAGCAACCATTGCTGGGATGTGTCTTAACTTATTCATCTATTATATCAGATATGCTCTTCCAGACAGTACTCCTCTTATTGTAAGAATAATAGTGTCTGTGTTCCCTTCTCTGAATCTCTATAATGTTCAGACACCTCTATGGCAACTCCAATTCTTAGGAGGAGTAAGTTTTTCTAACACTAGCACTTTCTATGGGCAATACAGCCTATTGGTGTTCTTCTTAATGTCTGTTTTCAATATCTTCTTCTGGACATTCTTGGCTCTTTATATTGCTGCTATTATTCCCACAGAGTTTGGAACAAGGAAACATCCATGCTTCTGCCTGATGTTTAGACGAAGAAGAGTAAGAGTCAACGAGAATGGAGAAAGATATTCCTTACTATTACAGAATAATAGCGATGATGCAGCAGATATCGAGTATCATGAAAACTCTGATGCTTTTGAGAAGGTAGGAAATGATCTCAAAGAGTTAGAAAGAACTCAAGAGTGACTTAAAATTAGAGGCCTTCAAAAGACTTTTGGAAACGGATTCCAAGCTGTGGATAATCTTTCACTTACCATGTATTCTGGTCAAATCTTTGCCTTACTGGGACATAATGGAGCTGGTAAAACCACCACTATCTCTATGCTGACTGGACTCTTTGGTGCTTCTGGAGGTAATGCTGAAGCTTTTGGAATAGATCTCCTGAATAATCAAGATGAGGCAAGAAGTATTATGGGAGTGTGTCCACAGCACAATGTCTTGTTCCCTACCCTCACACCAGAAGAGCACTTTGAAATCTTTTGAGAGTTTAAAGGAGTACCAGCCTCACAAAAGAGGCAAGCAATAGAAGACTGCTTAAGAAATGTTGATCTACTTGACAAAAGACATGATGTTTCAAAAGACCTTTCAGGTGGTCAGAAAAGAAAAGTCAATGTTGGTATTGCTCTCCTTGGAGGATCAAAAATTGTCTTGCTTGATGAGCCAACCTCAGGGATGGATCCTACTGCCAGAAGAAGACTATGGGACTTGCTCAAAGAAAACAAAGAGGATAGAATAATCATTCTCACAACACACTTTATGGAAGAAGCTGATATTCTGGGTGATAGAATTTCAATCATGGCTAAAGGATCTGCCCAATGCTGAGGAAGCTCATTATTCTTAAAGAGGAAATTCGGAGTTGGATACAACCTCACATTTGATAAGTCTACTCAAGAATCTGTTCCAAAACTTGAAGAATATGTGATGGGAAAGATCCCTGAAGCAATAAAGCTCTCTGAAGTATCATCTGAAGTTACCTTCCAGTTGCCAAATTCTTCTGTGAATAAGTTCAAGACATTCTTTGAAGGGATAGACAATAATTTAGAAGAGCTCCAAATCAAATCATATGGTATTGGAGTCACAACACTTGAAGAAGTCTTCCTCAAGGTTGGTGATGGAGTCGATGAAAAAGAAAAATTCGATAGTAAAGAAGCAAGGATGTCAGAAGAAGAGAAGGAAAATGACGCTTACTGACTTGTCGATCAAAGTGTGCAAGGCTTCAGTCTTGACATCTTACAACTAATCGCAATGATGAAGATTAGAATAAAGTTTGCATACAGAGAACCAAGAATTCTTATCTGTGAAGTTATCTTACCAATATTAATGGTGATTCTTTCAGCTGTATTGATGGGTGTTTCTTTAAGAGAAAAGACTGGTATCTTCCAATATGATATTGGTAAAATCCCTGATAATCTAATCACACATGTGGGTTACCCTCAGACTACTGTTTCACAAGAGGTTGCTCAGCAGTTTATTGATTATCAATATACTAAGGATGGCTTTAATGCCAAACTATTTGAAGGAGATGCTTTTGTAGGTGAAAATAGGAAAGAAACTGCTAAAAACTTTGATGAATTTGTCATGTCAAATCAAATTGATGGATGGAGGATATTTTCAGTGTTTATTAATAGAATAGAAGTAGATCCTGAAGAGAATACAGTGTACTACGACCTCACCACATTAGTTGATCCAACACAGGCTGAGGCTGTTGGATATGCTGCTCAAGCTGCAATGACATCAATCTTCAGAGCTGAACTTCAGGATGAGACTGCTGAGTTTACCATCGGGAGAGGTTCTTTTCCAAGAATTGGAAACACAAGTGCTATATTAAGAATGGTCTTAGCTGGAATAACTGTCGTCAACTTCTGTATAGCGCTTGGACTGACAACTTCAAGTATGGCAGGGAATATTGCAAAAGAAAGAACAGACTCCTTAAAACATCAACAGATTGTTAGTGGAGGAAGTAAATTCTCATACTGGATGGCGATGTTTATTGTTGACTTCGGAAAATTATTACCTGCATTTATATCATTTATCATAATTGTTATTGTGCTTGATGTCAACATTCCATTCTTTTATGTGTTTGCAATATTATGCTTAATCTCAATCCTTCCATGAACATACTTTTTGACGTTCATTTTCAGGACAGAATCATTTGCCAGGAACTTCGTTCGTCTCATTCACTTCTTTGGAGGAGGAATCTGAGCTTTTATATGCTTTGGTTTCAGCTTTGCTGGACAGCCCTGGACTTCTTTTTCAATAGCAATAAGAGTGATTCTCTGTTGGAATACTAGCTTCTCTTTCTCTCATGCTATTATTTTTATACTTGCTATTGAGAATATTCCAAACTTCAAGGATGAGAATAAATTTAGTTTGAAATATGCTGGTGCTGACTTCATCTGCTTAGTAGCGCAGATCATTTTCTTCTGGGTTGCTATTATGCTCATTGAAAATAGATTCTACATCAACAGGAATGGTAGAGCTGTCAGAGTTGGTGATTTTGTAGGTCATGGAGAGCACGGAGGACAAGAAAGAGTCAACCTTGATGATCCTGATGTCAAAGAGGAAGAGCAACGCATAGCAGCCTCTACTCCAGAAGATATGGAAATTAGAACTTATCTACTGAATAAGATATATAAAACAAGGAAAGGTGAAAATCATGCAGTCAGAAATGTCTCTTTTGGTATTAGCTTTGGAGAATGCTTTGCTTTGTTAGGAATTAATGGTGCTGGTAAAACATCTACATTCAAAGCTTTAACTGGAGATGTTGATCCTACCTCAGGAGAAGTACATGTAGGAGGTTATGACGTTCAGAACAGAATTCAGTATAATCACATTCGAAAATTGATTGGATACTGTCCTCAATTTGATGCTATTTTCCCTAATTTAACTGTTAAAGAACACCTTGAGTTTTACGCTAACATTAAAGGAGTTATTCCCAACATGAGAAGAACTGTAGTAGAACGTCAGCTAATTGAAATGGGTCTTGAAGAATACACAAATAAGCAAGCTGGGAAACTCTCTGGAGGTAACAAAAGAAAACTCTCAGTTGCTATGGCCATGATTGGGAACCCACCAATTGTCTTCCTTGATGAACCATCTACAGGAATGGATCCTAAAGCTAAGAGATTTATGTGGAATATTATTGCAAAAATTTCAACATTAAGAAAAAAATCCTGAGTTATTCTGACAACTCATTCTATGGAGGAAGCTGAAGCTCTCTCTACAAAGCTTGGAATTATGGTTGGAGGATCATTTAAATGCTATGGATCAGCACAACATATCAAGAACAAGTTTGGAGATGGATATGAAGTTGAAATCAAAATTACCACTCCCACTAGCGAAGAGCTCACAGCGCTTGGTACTGGAAAAGGATTCCAAGAAGAAATGCTTGTGGATGGATCAAATTATATGCAGATTCTCAGTGCTTTTGAAGCCCAGCCTCTATCAGAAGAAATTAAAGAAGGAGGATTTGGAGAAAATATGTGGAAAGAATTTGGCAAAGGTGGCGTCAAGCTTAGAAATTTCATTGAATTTATATTCATCGAGCAGACAGGGCTATCACTTATGAATCAACTTGCAAATGACTTTGAATACGTTGAATTACTCGAGCATTATGGAAACTCATTCAGAGTCAAGTTACCAACATTCAACCAATCAATTGGAGTACTTTTTGGAAGATTTGAAGAGATCTATAAGCCTCAGTTTAGCATCGACCAGTATAGTGTGAGTCAGACAACTCTTGAGCAAATTTTCAACAACTTTGCAAAACAACACTACACTCTTTCGAAAACTTCCAGAGTGTTCAGAAGACAATCTTAATAATTCTTAAAGGTTTCAGCATAATCTCTCCCTGTGGGGTTTTGGGGTTTTGGGGTTTTGGGGTTTTGGGG